AACAAATAAATAAACTAATAGTTATTTTTCCCAAAAATCAAATTCTTAAAATCATTAAATGAAACCTTTAAGGAACCACAAGCGTTAAGAGTAATTAGAACCTGTATCACTAAATCCTTTAGGGAACTTTTTCCAATAAGGTCCAATTAGTTAAAGGGGTCATATGATGTTGCTAAAAATAACATTATTTTGTGTATTTGGTGTAATGAAAAGTGTTTATGCTGTTTAAGGTTCAAAAAACACATTATTTTCCACATACTGTACATTATTGTTTCTCCTCTATGCCCCGCCTTTCTGAAACGCGTCGATTTTTACAAAGCTCATCAGTCTGAAAAGCGAGGTGTACGCTGATTGGCCAGCTATCCAGTGCATTGTGATTGGCCGAATACCTCAAGCATGTGACGGAAATGTTACGCCCCTCACATACTGTGATGCCGTGTCCCGGCCGGAGCGAAGAGACAAAAACATTAAAACCCATTATAAACGAGGCATTTGTTGCATCCAGTGGGGACATAATTACGGATTATAATGACTTATACTGTCTTTTTATGCGTTGCATCGCGCCGCGTAAACATAAACCATGTCTGCATTGTGTAAGAGAAAGGAAAATTTTAAATCGCATCATATGACCCCTTTAACATAAGTTAATACATCAACTAACATTAACTAACAATGGACAATAGATTTGTTACAGTATTCATTAATCTTTGTTAACATTAGCTATTAAAAACCTTATGTTACCATTCTTTACAACTCTCATCCCTATTCAGGAATATATAACTGTATTCATGATGTCATCAGTACTCTAATGTCTTTGTTTAATTTATGCAATAATGCACAGATAATTGGTATCTTGCTCTTATAATGGGTCAAATGGTGGAATGTAATTGATGTAGCACATTGCATTCACAAGACACAACGCCCTGACACAAGCTATTAGATCTTATTTGTTCTTCATTAGTGTGACTTTTCTATTAAAACTTATGAAAGTGGCCCATCTCCTTCACTTTCCTTGAACAGAACCGAGTGTTTGATCTCGAGTTAATTAGAACATACTACACAAGCACACTGATCTATGTGTCTTTTTTTGGTGCTTGAGGTGGAGATCTCTCCAGGTTGTGATTAATCAGGCCTGCGGGGCTGAGCTCACTGCTCAACTAAGACTGTCTGGCAGAAGTGCTGTGCCAGCAGCTCTCCATCAATGGGGGGATGATGGGATAGGATTGGGGGATTGTGGGACTGTGTGACTGGCTGTAGGGAGAGCAGACACAGTCAAATCATTTAATGTCACATGGCACCCGTGACACTACAGCCTTAGAGAATCCCTCAGGTTCTGAATCTAAAACTGAGAGGTCTAGTCAGAATAAGTCACACTAGTTTATCGCTGGGTATTTTTTAGAATGAGCACTTTTCTGTTTGCATTTGCACCACAGATAAATACAATGTCAATGTTCACAATTTGAGTGCAAGAAGTATTTAAAGGGACAGTTTACCCAAAAATGAACTCACTGTTATGTTGTTCCAAACCTGTATCACTTTTTGTTTTCTGTGGAACATAATAATATGAAGAATGTTGAGATCCAAACAACATTGGACCCTACTGACTTTAACTGTATGAAGGTAAAAAAATATATATACATATATAAAACACTGAAACTTTTTTCAAAATGTTTCATAGAAGAAAGTCGTAGAAGTTTGGAACAACATGAATCATTTGTTAGTGAATTATTCCTTTAAATTCTCAGGATAGTGGGGTTGAAAAGTGTCAGACCAGTTTTAGTCTTTATTACAAATTATATTACCTGATTAACAATTTAACTCAAATGTTGAATTGTTTTTATTTTATTTTATTTTATTTTCTCAAAAACTTTTTTTTTTAATGTTAACAAAAAATTGTCAATGTCAGAATGTCCTAGTATTTGGTTTGTCCTCCTTTCGTGCAAACTTATAAATATTAAACAATTTAGTAAACAATCATTTTTTATTAATATTATTTTATATCATTACATTTTTTTTTTTATTTTTTACTTAAATATTATAGCAACACGATGTGACAAAATAAAAATATAAAAATATGGTTTTACTAAAACTTACTAAAATACTATTACTTTGTTTAGGCCAAGTTTAAATTAGATTCTTAATTCTAGATTTTCAATATAGTCTTAAGGCTCGTTCACACCAAGCACGATAACTATAAAGATAACGATAAATATATAGTTCTAAAAATCGTTCTCAGTATTAAAGAATAGCATAGTTCACACCACAACTATAACGATAACGATACAGAGGAACGATATCGTTGTGATCACTTTCAAAATGATTTTTTTCCAGCTGATGAACGATAAAACACTGACAGCCAATCAGAATCCATCCTGCTGTAACGAGCTCAAGAATTTAAAGTGCCAGACGCACGTGCGCTTAGAATAAACAGACGATATCGTTCGCTGGTGTGGACGCTAATATCGTTATCTTTATAGTTATCGTTCTTGGTGTGAACAGGGCTTTAGACTTAAAAAACTAATTCAGATGAAAAAAGGACTTGTTCAACACCGTTGCTGAACAAGCATAAATGTCCAGCTAAAACGCTAGAAGTTTAAGACAGACAATTAATGGAGCATTCAAATTCACTCCAAAGTAGAACGTCTTTCTAGGGTCCATTTTAGTGAGTCTTCAAAATGTGAAGCAAGCCCCACAGGCACATTATCGTGACTGAGGGAATTCTGGGAATTTTTAGATATTTATTTAGCCCATGTGAGTGTTTATTAAAAGCCTAGACGTGCTTTGATGCGTGTTGTTATTTATGCATGTTTGTGTCCATTAGAGACTTCTTCTCCATCCCACTATTTTAGCCATCCGTCCATCCATCTCTTCGGGACAACCTGCTTCCTGCCGTGCATTATTTTAATCTTCGGCCTCCTCCTCCTCCTCCGAAAAAGGAAAACGTGCTATTTTACATGCACTCAAATTTATAACTTATTTTTTTAGTCAGGCATTAGAGAAGGCACCTCATCTAAGACTTATGACTGACGGTTTCCCCCTTCCACCCCTCAATCTAATGGTATAAAAGAGACAATGTTTTAAACATTAAAATGAAAACCATTTACAACTATGATCAAAAGAGAACATTCGTGCATTAAAATTTAAAAGGCGAGGAGAAGTATGAACGCGTGGACGGAAGCAAAGAGGAGGGGGAGAGACAGAGGTAAAGAGGAGAAGACACAAGCATGCTAGTGAACACTCCTAGTGAAAGAAGAAAGAGCCTTAAAGTGCTTTTGCGCTTCGTTGCAAAACGCTGACCTGTAATGAATGTGAACTACTTTCCCTGCCTATATCACTCTGATCCTCCTGTCCTCGGCCTTTTCAAGCACTTTCCGTAGGTACGTCTTAAAACTCGTGCTGTTTAGATGGGATGATGCTACTTTGAGATGGCACCACTTTCACAAGTCCCAAAAACACAACAAACTGTTGAAGACTGAATGTTGTATAATAAAGAATGCTTTCATGATTTCTCCTTGTAGAATTTGACTAGGATATGGTGGTTTGAACACAATTTATAACAACTATTCCTTTTAGTTTATAGATTTAAATATTAAAAAACAACAACAATGATAATAATGTGTATGACCCGAGATGCAAACTTTGCCAGGAATTGGAGTTCAAGTAAAAAGACCACAACCTAGACAAGACCATATTACCATCATTAATTCTCAAATTATAATAGGGTGACCAACATCTTTACCGGACATGTCCTGTCTGGGATTTCTAAATTGCCTAAAATGTCCAGGTTTTGGCTTTGTTTTCATGCTCTCTACAGTCCTCATGCATTATATGTATGCGTATTAACTTACAGAAGTCAGAATTACAGTAAAACGCAATTACTTAGACAAGACCATATTAGCATATATTAATAATACAAATAAAAAATTAATTAGAATTTACATTCTCTAAAATTCTGAGCAAAAAAATAATTATTTTATACTGATACACTACACTGTAAAAAGTTATTTTTTTTTGCAGTTGTAAATAATACAAAGGTACTGAAGAACTTGAAAATACAAAATACTGTTTCAGTTTTTCTACTTCTACTTCAAAGACTCATATTTAATTCAATGTGTTAAAATCTATCTGGTCTCGTGGCAAAAACGTACCTGGGGGGGGCACTTTTTCGCGAGATGCGAAATACGTACCAATAAGTACATGTCACTGCAGTTTCCAAAAGAAATGAACACTAGAGGCAGTAAAACTCCGACACCTTTTATTCCTTTTCACACAAATTGACAGAGTTTCGATTAATAAAGCATAATTTTCGCACAATTACTTGAAGAATATTATGTTATGACTTCAAAACAATTTTAATATGCTGGGAGATTTGAAAACTGCTACTTTCGAATGTTAGCATCACACATATCCAGCTTCATATCTATGGGTTTTCATAGACAGTAGGGTTGTTCGGTCATAGACGGTAGGGTTGTTCGGTAGCTCACGGAGTACGGAGACGTACTTGAGAGGCGAGGAGCTCTGGTTTGAATCCTGTTTGACAAAACAGTTCAAATCTGCATATAAGGAAGTTCAAATGGCACAGTTGCATCAACAAATACGTTTTTGTATCAGTTTTGCATTTGTTAACACTATCGGGTAGGTTTAGGGTTGGGTTTGGTGTAGAGCATATTTCCAGCATGATAGAGCATTAACTTTTAACAACAGTCCCCAGATATTTGAATTCTGAACCGCCGCTATACGTACCTGAAGCAACGTAATAAAAACACAGCAATACGTACCTATATCAACGTAATAAAAACGTGCCAGGGTTCACGTATTGAATCCGTGTTTTATCGCCACTCAGTGGACATTCCTCTTTGAAACTGCGGCGAAACGTGCAGTAAGGTATGTAAAAACGGTGTTGCAGAAAAGTACCCAGAGGTACGTGTTTTTATGAGACCATGTTGGTTACAATTGTTTCTACACCCATTCTTTTTTACTGTATCAATATGGATTCATACCTTGCAGATTCTGTAGGGGGAGCGTCATAATGCCACCAGCAGCAGCGGCTGCCACCAGGCCCTGTATGTTGGCTGCAGTAGGCAGAGAGAGAACCAGGCCCTGCTGCCCACCCAGATGCCCACCAGCATTAAAGGGGATCAGAATGGGCTGGTTCAGACCAGGAGCTCCACCGGACATCACTCCACTAACCGCTGACGCCAGCTGCTGAGCAACCAGCAGAGACTGAAAGAGAGAACAAACAGGAAGTTTAACGAGAAGTTTTTTTTTTAATGTATGATGTGCAGCATCACAGTGGTGTTCTTTTTTAATAATTTTATTTATGTGTTTTACTTAAAATTATTTTATGATTTTATTTTTGTCTTCCAGTTTGAAATGCAAATGAAAATCTTCCTTCAAATCTCCAAATTTAACACAAAATACAGACGAACATTGATGCTAACACACTTCTTGTGACAATTGTTGAGACTGTTGAGACAATATTTGCTAAAAGTGCTGTGTGCTAGCAGAACCCACTGCTGGGTCTGACAAATCAAATGCTTTTCCTGCAGGAGACCAGTGCATTTTTCTTTTCAGCTCACCCAAGCACTGTTTTACACCTCTATACTGTACAAAAAAGCCTGTCTGTGATACAACTCACAACTATCACACAGCCTGCTCCTCCTTCCTACAAGTCAGCAATTTCTCACTCTCTCTCTCACTTACACACCCAGGCTACATTATCATAACCCCCTTTAGCATTTATTGCTGCTTCTTTGGCTTAATCTTGTACAGTCATCTTTATAATTGAAGGCTTTTTCATTCAAGACTTAATAATGTTCAAGCAGTGTTTCCTCAATGATGAATTTGTACACTGACAACAGTGTTAAACAGTGTCTCAGACTCTTTAGTTGCATAGATAAGAGCAAGCCCCACAGATGAATTGAAGTTATACGGGTTTTGATCAACATGATGGTGAGCAAACGACAACAGAATTTTAATTTGGGGCCTTTAACGTTAAGTAGAATACATTTCTGGTTGAAGCAGTTTTATAATTTCTGGCATGCAGCACTGTTTGTAATTTATGAATACAAAGAAAAAAAGCATAGAACGACAATAAAATATATGAAGTGTATGATAAGACAAAGTTTACTCATTGCTTTAACATTTCATTTACAACAAACCTGTTGAATCAAATGATAATCAGCATAAACAACATTAAATATTGTTTCTCCATCTAAATGGAAAAACAAACAGAAAAAAGGAATTTGTCAAAAAATGAAAACCCTTCTTATAGAACATACTGAGAGATGTAATTTGTCATTTCATTCACAACACTGACATAAAAAGAATGCAAAAAAATCAATTAACCACTCAAAGGATGACAACAAAGACTCTTCTGACAAAGCTGTGACATATGCTTAATCTTGCTGTTTTAAGTGTGTGTGTGATGTCATTTATTTGAGGCACAAAATCAAAGATTGTCTGCCAGCATCTCATCTCAATCTCAAAATGAATGCCATTGCCTGCTTTGCCTCTGTGTCCACAAGATGCTTGAAATCTTTTCTTTTTGAATTAACCAGTTAAGAAATCCATATGTTGATACATTCTTGAGGGTTTGGAATATACCGTTCAAAAGCTTAGGGTCGGTCTGATTTTTTTATGTTTTCAAAATATGTTTCTGTTCACTATAAATGCATGCTTGTTCAAAAATACAGTACAACTTAATAATATGAAATTATATAAATATTATTACAATTTAAAATAACTATTTTCTATTTGAATGTTTTAAAATATAATGCATTCCTCTGATGACAAAGCTGAACAGCCATTCCTCCAGTCTTCAGTGTCACATGATACTTAAGAAATCATTCTAATATGCTGATTTGAAGAAAATGTTTTATTATCAATGCTGAAAACAGTTTGTGCTGCTTCATATTTTTGTGGAAACCGGTTTTGTTTTGTTTTTTTGATGAAGAGAAAGTTCAAATGAAGAGCATTTATTTTAAATAGAAATTTTGAAATAGAAACATTATAAGTGTCTTTACTCTCACTATTATCAATTTATTGCATTTATGCTGAATAAAAGCATAAATTTATTTTTAAAAATTAATTTTACTGACCCCAAATTTTTGAGAACAGTATACTGAGCTCAGGCTTTGTCATAACTTTGTCAAACCGATGTATCGATGCTAGGGGGTTAAGCAAATATAATTATATATATATAATATATTTATGGCACAGACAGTTTCAATCTATAAATGAAGGGTAAAATTAAGGAGAACCTCTAAGACCAGCATTTTACATGTTGTTTATTTCAGGACTCTAGGAAATCGCACATTTAAAAATGCAGCCATTTTAGTGTGGCTTTGTTTGAATTCTTTAAAAGAATGAAATTTGTCTATAGCACTGGGTTTGACATTTTCTCCTAATGGCCCATTCTGAACTCCACTTACTGAACTGAGCAAATTATTAAAAGGGCACTTGACCTAAACAAAAGAGCTGAACAGCTTTCATCAGTCTGAAGATGTCTAAAACCAGATGAATAACTGAAAGCTTAAGAGAAAGTTATCTTCATGTTAATTCATAGGCTCTTTGGTAGAAAGGGCTTTTTCACTCATTTTTGATACTAAGTACAAAACATGTCCCACAACTTTTACCTGTCATTATTTTTATTTTATGTTATTTTATTTTAAATAGCAACACTTGATATACTGTTTGAATGATTATTTGGAGAGTTTCTGGTCATTAGTGGAACATGTTCATAGTTAATGTGATGTGATGTGATGTGATGTGAAATACACCTGTGGTTACTGCTCAGACACCGGTGAAAACATGATGAGAACTAACTTCCACAATGCATCCACAAAAACACCTGTATACAAGGAATCTAACTGTGATAAAATACAACTTCAATTGTTATCATTTTCATGGGCTTTTGGCAAGGAGTACAAACTACTGTGCTGTGTCCAGCAGAATGTCTGTGTCAGGAATCATGGGAGGTCCAGATACTCCTCGACTCAGCATGAAAACCGGTTCATCTCTCTTTCTTTTTTTGTGTTAGGTTCACTAATAGCTCACACCATTTTCCCATCAGCCCTCTCTCTAAGCGACAAGGCAGCTGACAAACTGATCTGAACCCCAGCGTGTCTGTGAAATGGGATCCCCCAGGATCAAAACACACTTTAAAATGGCTGAACAACTCCTCACTCAAAATACCCTTGGGATGTTTAAGTCACGCTACCACCTCACTGCTCCTAAATGTCCATTTACATACACAAAATACAGTTAAATATACTTTATATATCTTATATTAATATAAGATATTGTGGCATATTTGTGATAAGTACACTAACAGTTTGCGTGACTGTTTTTGAAATATATATATATATATATATATATATATATATATATATATATCATACACACTTTTTTGTATTGTAAAATTTTGTTTCTTTTGGTACTATATAGTTTTGTATGGAGAAAAAAGTAAGTTTTGCAAAAAAAATAAATAAATAAAAATCTTGCTGGTATCATAGTGATGGTGTCAGATGATAATGACTTTAATGATGATAACTAATGATGATGATATATAAAGTCAGTCAGACTCAATAAACTCCTAATTTGGTTAAGTTTAGGTTTGGTGTAGGATTAAGCGATCTAAAATATGCTCATGCAAAATAAGGAAGTGCTTTATAAGTACTAATAAACAGCCAATATGTTAATAATAGTTTAATTTATAATCCATCGTTTCATCACAATTTCACCATCCAGTTAGGCACATCAACCATATCTCCTTCAAAAACAGCCAGAAACCTTGGAGTTATGATTGATGATATGCTGACTTTCTCAGACCACATTGCTAAAACTGTCCAGTCCTGCAGATTGACTTTATTCAACATCAAGAAGATCGGGCCCTTTCTTTCAGAACATGCTTCACAACTCCTTGTTCAAGCTCTTGTTCTGTCCAGGCTGGACTATTGTAATGCTCTCTTGGCAGGTCTTCCAGCCAGTTCTATCAAACCTTTACAATTAATCCAGAACGCGGCAGCAAGATGAATTTTTAATGAGCCGAAAAGAATGCACGAAGTGTAAATAATAGGCATGCTAATAAGCAACTAGTTAATACTGAGAATTGGTCCCTATACTAAAGTTTTACCATAAAGTCATACAGAATGATTACTATATTAACATACCATAGTTTAAATGGTACTTCAAGATACTGCAAACAATACCATGGAAAAACTTGGAATAAATCTGCGAAATGTAATTACCGGTATTCTTCATTATTAAATTCCACGATTTTAAAATAGTAAAATGGCCATTTTAAAAGCATTTAAAATGAGGCATGATTGAAAGAGACAAATCGTTAAAAATACTAATTGTTACAGAATCATTACTGAACATACTGTACGTGTCCCCAAGAACCTTTGGCCCATGAGCAACACGCTGCACCTTCTTGATCTGGCTTTTGGGATTAAATTACCCTTTTCTTTTCCTAACCCACCCCCCATCCCATTCCTCTTTCTAATAAGAACAACGGAGGGAGCAGCCCAGCGGAGGAAACGCTGAAAGATTACTCGTAATCAGACTGATAGCAGTGTGTGCGCGAATGAAGCCAAAGGCACAGGATAGAGTCGGACCCATGTAGGGCTAACTGCCCTCTTACTGATCCAGTTCCGTAATGGCAGTGCACACAATATCCGTCTCTAGAGTGAGAATCCATCAAAACATATTGATCCAGAAACAAGGGAATTGGCCATGGCACAGGGAGAGAGCAGTGTGGCTGAAAAGTGTTTGTTTCTGTGGGACTGTCCTGACAGGGTTCATCTATTAAGGCAGAGCTCAGGGGAACGAGAAGACAAGAGCTTGGACATTGCTGCGGCATGTTGAGCTGGATATGGCAAAAGACAATGATCATTCTCCATCTCTTGAAAGAGCTTGTTTGTTCTACTCATCCTAAAAAAAAACACAGCTGATTTTCTAAAAGTATGTGCATGTTTGTTTTACTGGGGCATTCGTTAGGTGTTGAGTTGGATGGTAGGCTCCTTAAAGTCATCGAAAAGTCATCAAAATTGATCTTTTATTACTTTTTTTAAAAGGACAGTTCACCCCTAATCACCATCATGTCATTCCAAACATGTATAACTTTCTTTATTCTGCACAAGAAAAAAATCAGAGATTTTCCCATATAGTTTTCATTAATGGAAATGAGATGTTCCAAGTATTTTCAAGACACAAACGCATTATAAACGTGGTCTTTGACTCCACATATTTCAAGATTTTAGAAGCCATAGATATGTGCAAGAAATGAACCAAAAGTTAAGCTGTTCTTCATTGAACAATCCTTGGAATATTCATCAGAAAAAGATTTGTGTCAGATTTGTGAAAAACAAAATCATTCCTTTTAATGAATTGGTTGGATTCTTATTCATAAATCTGCCATTTGTCTTTCTATTACTAATAATAGAAAGGCAAATGCTACTTTTTCATACAGCGCTTACTGTCTTTTTTTAACTGTTCTGTCTAATCATTTATTAATCAAAGACAGCGAACTGATGAAGACAGAGAATGGGAGCTCCTGTGTGTCTGTGCTCAGGCACTGCAATGGGTTCTCAGCACTGTCAAAATAAAAGTTTTGGCGCTGTCAAAATTAAAGTCCAACTTTTGACACTTATCAGCCAATGCGATAATTAACAAATGACAAATATTAGCCAATATACTGGCTTTGGCAACATATATCTGTCGATCCTTTAATGTCAGGTTGTGTCACACTATTTGCACTACTTTTTGTCTGTCTACTGGAATATAGTATGTATGTAACAGCCACTTTTCATGATCCTGTAAGTTGCTAATGGATAAAATCAAACCTATGTCACATTCAAATGTAAAATGGGTTGTGAATGCCATTTTATGTTGAAATTAATGAAACTGTGTAAGGAGAACCGGTGTGTGTTCTCACCTGTGGTCCTACATGGTAGGTGGGGTGAGATTGGCCCATATGACCAAGTTCTGTGGGACTGCTGCTGGCATCAGACTGAACTGAGCCAACTCGACCACCTGATTGAGACAGATAGAGAGCAAAAGATAGATTATTTGTCCATTCTTAAAGAATAAAAAAATCCTTTTCAATAAATTCCTCCATTTCCCCCTTGCATAACCACATACACAAACACTCAGAGACAGTATCATGCTGTGACGGCAGTGAGCCCTCAGTAGGGTGCTCTGTAACTGCTGTAGTAAAGCGTTTTCCCAATAAAAGTGTCTGCACATCATGTATTCTCTGCTAAACACACATCAGCACTGTTACATGCACGTCACAGCATCTCCTTAATTCAGCGACTCAAACCACACATCAATTTACATGCCAGAGTTCTCCGCTGATCTATCTACATGCACACATTTAAACACACACACAAACATGTACACAGGGCTGACATGAGATACTGCGCTTCAACACAAATACTACACACCTGACCTGTGCACACACAGAACTAGAAAAGCCACGGGTAAAAAGGAAATCCAGAAAATGTATAAAGAGTGTTAACAAGTTGCCGTCTTTACATTTCAAAACATGTCAAACTTGGAGAAAATCACAGTTCCTTTCTGAGTTTAAATAGTAAGAGCAAATCAACAACCTTGACCTTGTGAAGCAAGCAGACAAATTGTTTGGATATTTTTATTTAGCAAGGATGCATTAAAAAGATAAAACGTGACAGTAAAAAAATTGACCCTTATGACTGGTTTTGTGGTCCAGGGTCACACATGTATATAGCACAGTTTCCAAAAAAATATTAAGCAGAACAACTATTTTAAACACTGGTAATAATAAGAAATGTTTCTTGAACACCAAATAAGCGGAGTAGAATGCTGCTGAAAATTCAGCATTTGGAAAAAAGGGATAAATTCAATTTTAGAATGTATTAAAAAAGAAAAAAATGTTAATTGCATAAATATGATAATATATTAAAGCACATATTACTAATATATTAAATAATATTTCACAATATTACTGTTTTTACAGTATTTTTGATCAAATAAATGCAGTCTTGATGAGCATAAGAGATTTCTTACAAAAACATTAAAAAATCTAAATGATCCCAAACCTTTGAATGGTAGACAGAATGTTATGGTGAAGGCCACAGAGCTTAATAAATAAATAAAATAGAATATTGGGTCTCATTCACTAACCGTGCCTATGCATGCATTGTGTCTGCACAATGGCTTCAGAAAAAAAGTCATTTGTTAAGCTATTTGTTTAAAACTAAATGGCTAAAATAAACTAAATGGCTCTACAAAAGTATTTTTATCATTTATAAATTATTTCAATTGTGTGCTGTCTAGACCTATAATACAGTTTATTGTGTTTAGTTTTAAAAATGGCACACTTTGCTTAACGTGCTCTTAGCTCTCTGTTCATCACAGAGATAGATTACTTTACTTTTTTTTTTTATAAAGACACAGTATTTCATGTTTTTATTTATTTATTTACATACAATAGCTCATAAAATCTTACTGGTTTATCCACTTTCAGTGATGTTAAATAGTTGACATTAGGCAGGCGTCAGAGTTGGAAGGTCATCACACTGACTTGAATAAAGTATCATTCAAATCTTTTACTGTCTATAATGAACTCATATAGCTCATTCCATTAACATCTATTTAACCAGACAGAAAAACATCAGGCAAGGTCTCAGCTGGTTAATGCTGCTTTGAAAGGCGTGTCAACTATATCTAGTCATCTATTTCTGTGGCGTATACCTTTGGTTCATGGTCACAGGCAGATTCTATTCAAATCCAACCTACTGCTTTTTCTACTGATATATAGTACTCTTTTTTCCCCTTTCTTTCCTTCTATCAACTGCATCACGAAACACTGATTAGATTAAAACATGCTTACAAAACTAGCTTGCTGTAACTTGTTTCATTATTACTACATTTTAACAGGTACTTAGTTTGTTCCACATAGTTTTTCTACACTTCCACACAGTTCTAGCACATTTAATAACTAGGAACAGGAAGGCAGTGATGGCCAGAGATAAAAACAAAGCAACTGATTTTAAATGGTTCTTCACAGTGACAGAGGCTTCTCTGAGAATCACCATGGTAACATATCCTCATTATTCCAGAGATCACTGGAGGGTAAAGACCTGTCTCCCTGGCCCTAATCTTCCACACACACACACACCGATCAAACCTAATAAAAGAGTTTGTAATCAAGCTCCCCAGCACACTTATGAAGAACATCTGCTGATGAGCGCTCACCTGAGGAACGCCTAAACCCGCCATTGTTTGGTTAGCGGTCAGTCGTTCTGATGTGTGTTTTTAAACACCACAAACTTATGATTTGTTTGTTCAGGTTTCCTCCGAATGCCTGCACAAACATAGATCTTGCTTGAGAGGAAAATTGAGCCAGAGAAGTAAAGTCAATAATAAATGTGTTATAACTCAAAAATTAAATAATGTAGTTTGGACTTGTAATTCTAAGACTTGTAATTGTAGTTCTAAGACAGTGTGTTCTTGTGCTGGATAATGAGTGAGACTGAGAGTTATGGCTTTAATGTTAAGCTTCTTAAATATATAATAATTTAAATACAAATAAAATGTAATTATATTAAAATAGCTATATTAATAATTAAGTTATTTAAAAATAAAATGCATTTAATTAAATGCATTTTTAATAAAAAAAATTGCATGCACTTGTTTAATAATGTCTCTATTGTTCAAATTTGACTTAATGCTATGCATTCACACTAATTTCTACATACACTGCCATTTAAAAGTTCAGAGTTTTAAGGAAAATGGCATGAAAAGCCTGTGTGAAATATTATAACAACTGAAAATAACTGTATTGTATTTTAATATATTTGAAAAGGTCATTTATTTCTGTGATGGCAAAGCTGAATTTTCAACAGCCATTACTCTACTCTTCAGTGTCACGTGATCCTTCAGAAATCATTCTAACATACTGATTTGGTGCTCAAAAACAGGTCTTATTATTGTTCATTTTGAAAACAGATAATTATTTTCAGGATTCTTTGATGAACAGCATCTATTTTAAATAGATTTTTAAAAGACTAATTATGTCTTTACTGTCTTTTTTGATCAATTTAATGTGTCCTTGCTAAATTAATTAAAAAAAAATTATAAAAAAAAAAAAACCTACTGACTGAGATTTACACACAATAATCATACTTGGATTTGGAGGTATTGCATTGATTATTCTGCATAATGAGCATCAAATCAGAGATTAACAAAGCAAAAAGGTGACAAAAACCAGAAGTTTTGTATTATCACCAGTTTTTTGTAATTGTGGGCTGATCACATATTATCACAGGGCTCTTTTGTCCCCTTTTGATGTTCTAGATGAGCGACAGCACTAATGATGCTGCGACGACGCCCTTGTCTCAAAGTTTGGCAAATGACAAACATCAGAGGAAAATCTCCCATTATCATATGTTCACGAGCTCAATATCAAAAATGAAAAACAAAGCCGATCCCACGTCTAATCAAAGGAGTTGCTCCGCTGTATAATTGATGAGGAGCATTATATTGACAGAGCACATGACAATAACATATATAAATAATACTTCTGTTCCGCATTGTTCTGGTGTAACTTGGCGAGTTGTGAATAATATATCACATCTATAAGTAAAGCAGCAAAGCGTGTCTTTCAGTGTCTTTCATTGGTTGAGTAGGGAATGCTTGATCCCTTTGCAAATAATAGTAAAGTTAACACATTTTAGTTGAACGGCTGGTGAAAAAGGGGGATCAATAATGAATAAATAAACAGGCCCCTCATCTCAAGGGGGTTTCACTGTGTTTTTTCCCTCCATGCAACAAAATTAAAAAGCCGAAGGAGGAGTGACGGGGCGTCTGGGGATTATCAACAGCGATTCACTCCCATTACCCAATCCCATTGTTCTTATGACCTGTTTATTAAAACAGCCTGCGCTTTAAGTGGATTACACTTCGAGCGCTGAAGATATCGTACATCTAAAGTACTGATGCACACTCTAGCTGAGGAGACTTTTTCCTGGGATGTATTGCTTTCCTTAACCAAACTAAATGCCATGTACTAGCAGCTGAACTGCTAGTACTAGTTATTGCTTGGGTTTAAAAGCCTGAGGGTGTTTCGATAAACTCGCAGACAACGAGTCCAAATGAATACGCACATGCACTTCTCAAGGTTGACAGACTTACAGCACACGGCATCCCAAAGAAACCACTTATCAAACTGCTGAGGTCCATCATGGATACTCAGCCTCGCTCACAAATTTATAAAGGTATTGATAATTGAGAATATTTTGAAACATGTTAGCGTGCGGCGGGCGCTAACAGGCCGTGTTTCTCTGCACTGGTCAAACAGTGTCTCATTTGTAATCTCCTCAGTGTGGCCCTATCTACAGTAGGTTAAACACAACAGAGACCCAGACTGATAGCAAGAGAGAGAACCTCACCTACTGAGTCTGGATGTGCCGGCTCTGATGAAGTGGCTAAGACACCAAGAGGTCAGAGTTCAACTGCTTTTTTTTATTTCTTATAAAAACTTCTTCAACACAGGGGTCAGATAAAGACCTCTGAAAGGTCTTATGAGATATTATGTGCAGCGTGTAGATTTTGTTTCGAAGGCTGTCATATTTTATAAAAGAAGGGTGATTAGGAGTGTCTTAACTCTTAGTTCTTTAACAGAGTCTGTAACTCAACCTTGGTAGGCATTTGGATAAAAGTGTCTGCTAAATGAATACAAGTAAAAGTAATATTAATGTAAATGGACATCCATACCTAAAACATGAGGAGCCAATTAATGAATTACATTAAAATAAACCCAGGTGAAAAAGACATAGTATTAAATGTATTAAAAATATACTTGAAATTCAAGTAGTATGTTTATAATACATTTGTATTCCCAACATGCTTATTTGAAGTGCAATAAAAATATACTGAATTGCATTTTAATATATTTCTAAAAGGTATACTAGAAGTACTTTTGTATTAAATATATGCTTAGTTATACTTCTAAGAAATATGCTAAACAGAAGCATACTTTTAATGTATTT